TGGCCAGTGGGAGCCTACTCAAGTCAGCTCTGCAGTGCTTCTGACAAACCCCCAGTATTCTTTAGTAACTTCTTTGCTTTCGGATTTGACCTGATGTTCCAGACTCATCCTGTAGATTCCTGCTCCAGACTTGGAGTCAGCAGGGCTCTAAATTCCACTGGGCTTTAGAAATAGTATTTACAGACCGAGCACTGGGGGTGCACACTGTTACTGGGCTGCTCACTGTTTCTAGGCCTTTCAGTGGGCAAAGCTAGGAAGTAAGTTTTTAAAAAATAAAAGGTATCCCCCAGAATAGATCTGATACTTAAGATTTCAAGAAAAAAGAAAAGATACATCTTGAGCTCATACTGATTGCCAAATTTAAACTCAGGGCTACAGAGTTTTTACTAATTCTCCTGTCTTACCTGTTTCTTTCCAGTTCTCAAAACACCAACATAATAAAATACAATCCCTGGCTCGCATTTTCATCCCTTAAGCACTTTATATATGTTACTCCATTGTCTTCTGGCAGAAGACAGATAAATCTGCTAACAATCTCATTTCTCCGCCTTATAAGTGACTTAACCATTTTGTCTGTAAGCCTAAAAGATTATGTTTTCGATAAACTCCCAATAGATTAGAAAATGTCTCAGTGTTGGCTGCTCTGACTTAATTTTCCCTGATATGCAATGTGTCCTTTCAATATATAATTCCAATATTACTTTTATCTGAGGAAAGTTTCTTGAATTCTAGGTTTTTATATTTGTTCTATTCCATTGCTTTGATTTTATTCTCCAGGGGCTCATATCACACATACATTGTATATTTGGAAACTATCGTTAATAATTATTACTTTTTCTTGTCTTTAACTATTTCTTTTCCATAAGCACTGAATGAACGAAGCCTGCTAAAAGCTAAATAATGAAGTTGTACAGCATCTTATACCTTCTAAACACTTCATAAATACTTGCTCATGGATCTTCCTCTGTGCCACGTGACAAAGGCCATGACATCGCCTCTGTGGATAGAAAGATAATGGCTCAAAGGACAATGCCTTTATCCACTGATCCTACTAGATAAATACTCAAGAGAAGTATCCACCTGAAAAGAGACAGTTCTGAATCTGTTCATGATTATCACTGGAATCAAGGGAATAAAAAATTTATACCACACCAGGAGAAAGACAGTCAACTGTTCTTAAATACTAACGAACACAAAAAGAGACCTTAACACATTACAGCAATACTTTAATAATTTAAGTAATGCTGCCACCATGTGGTACCTTTCACTTCTTTTAGAAATAAAATTGTTTAAACAAAAAGATAATCATGTTGCCATAATGCATGTTATCTTTAAAATACATAAACTATGAACAACTTTTGAATGCTAGCCAGTTTTTCTTAAACTAAACTACATTTAAGTGGCATAGACAAGATGAAAATTCTAGGAAGTACTGATATCTATACATTACCACTCTCCCCTGTCCAACAATATAACTCTGGGCCAAGGCCACTATTATTAAATATAGGACATTATTATTTGGGCCAAGATAGGAAAGAACAGCAAATAATGCAAAAATATATGAAAGTCTCTAAAATACCTTCAGCTTTTTCCTTCTAATTGGAGGGGAACCATTAGAGTGTAACACATAGAAAGGTCGTTGAGCCTGACAGGCAGGCAAGTTTCTGCACCACACTAAGCCCTCATAAAGCCCAACTGGAAAGGTCATTGTGTGAAAAGACTGGATCAAGGGCTTTTCAAGAAAAGGAGTTACATTACACTTAATTGAAGATAACAGCTGACACAATATTTTTGAGACCTTTGGATGGAATTTTTCAATGACAATGCAAAAATGCCTTGCTTCATAAAGGGTGGATCTGTGTTTGTCTTAATAACTGATACAGCTTTACTTAGTTCCTGACATTATGCCTCACACAAATAGGTGCTCAAGACATTCTGTTCCACTTAATTAATATAAGCTTGTGTCTATCATACCCAGTGTGAACATTTTATTCTTTAGTAAACATCTCCTTGGCAACCTTGTGTGATAACTAGAACAAATATAAATACCCTAATTTTATATTAAAAACACTTTCCTAAGGTAATATTTGTCATTTGCTTAACAAATCCCTAGTTTTCCTAAAGATATTACAAAAAAAAAATTATTCAATTCAAATTACTGCAAGTTCTGAACTAATAAATTTGTATTTGCCTGTACTTGTTACCCTCTTTCTCTTAATAATACTTACCAACATTTGTCTAACACCTATATGCCAAGGATTTAAAAAACGTTATATCATTCAATCTTCACAAAAACTTGAAAACTCTGCAGTATATATTGTTCCCATTTTACAGATGAGGAAACTGAGCCTTAGTAAAGCAAGGTATATAGGAGAGGTGCCAAGATTTGAAACCAGGTACATAAGCTCCATGGTCCATGTTCTTTCTACCCGTCAACATAGTCTCCTCTCCAGAAAGATGCTGGAAGGGCTGAACAATGCAAGGAATTCCTCCTTTCTCTGACACATGCCCATCTTGGCTTGGCAACTATCTTCTATTCTAGCTTAAAGAGGTATCTGCTTCAAAAGAAGCAATCTTGAATATGACGCATTCAAAAGCATAAAAGTAACGCTTCTTTTACCTTTCATTCAAGACCTCGTTTGACTTATACAGCCCTTTCACAGAAACCATCCACAGTATTTAAAACACAGGTGTAAGTATTACGACACGTGGATTCTAGGGACAACTCAGCCGCTAATTCGCTGCATGACTCTTCACACATGACTTTCCATTTCTGGGCTCAGCTTCTACCAAGTGAGAAGCTTGGATTAAAGAATCTATCTTAATTCCAAAATTCTATGACTCTTTTAATATAAAGTAGATTTTTAGAGATGCATTTATAAACATTCTTTTTTCTTATTAAAATCTATCTATTATTTCAAATTAATCTGACTGGCAAAAAAGAGATGACTTATGAAAAAGCGTAGTAGATGTAAGAAAACCCAAGTTTTAGTCCAAGCTCTGCTATGTGTTTTTTTGAAAAATACTAAGAACCTACATGTATCCCACTTCGGTGAGTGGTGTCTGGGGTCTTAAAAGCTTATGAGCGGCCATCTAAGATGCATCATTTGGTCCTAACCCACTTGGAAGAAAGGAGAATGAAGAGAACACCAAAGACGCAAGGAAAATATTAGCCCAAGAGGCAAAAGGGCCACATAAACCAGAGACTCCCATCACCCTGAGACCAGAAGAACTAGATGGTGCCTGGCTACCACCAATGACTGCCCTGACAGGGAACACAACAGAGAGATGGAGCAGGAGAAAATTGTGGAACAGAACTCAAATTCATGTAAAAAGACCAGACTTAATGGGAGTGCAGGAACCCTCAAAGCCATGGTCCCCGGATGCTCTATTAACCTAGAACTAAAACCATTCCCGAAGCCCACTCTTCAGACAAAGATTAGACTGGACTATAAAACACAGAATAATACTCGTGAAGAGTGTGCTTCTTAGTTCAAGCAGATACACGAGACCAAATGGGTGGCTCCTGTAGGGTGGCAGGATGAGAAGGCAGGAAGGGACAAGAACTGGTTGAATGGACAAAAGAAACCCAGGGTAGAAGTGGGGAGTGTGCTGTCCCATTATAGAAATTGCAACTAATGTCACATAACAATATGTGTATAAATTTTTGTATGAGAAATTAACTTGAGCTGTAAACTTTCACCTAAAGCACAATAAAAAAAAAGAGAACCTACACGTACCAGACGTTACTTTAGGCATTATGAATACAACAGAATAGGAAAAATAAGTCCCTACTCTCATGGTGCCTGTATTCTAATGAAGGAAGACAAGCAATAAACAAGTAAATAACAAGAAAAATAAAAGGCAGTTATAAACACTTATGGTAGGTAGAATTCTAAGACGGTTTCCAAAGTGCCCGCTGTCTTACTTATCTAGTGTTGCTGTAACAGAAATACTATGAGTGGGTGGCTTTAACAAACAGAAATTTATTTTCTCTTAGTTTAAAAGGCTAGAAGTCCTAATTTAAGGTGCTGGCTTTAGGGGAAGGCTTTCTCTGTCTGTCAGCTCTGGAGGAAGGTCCTTGCCTCTCTTGAGCTTCTGCTCCTGGGTAAACATCACATGGCTTGGCGTCTCTCTTCCCCCATCTCTGCTCACTCGCTTGCTTATTTAATCTCTTTCATATCTCAGAAGAGATTGACTCAAAACACACCCTACACTAACGCTGCCTCATTAACGTAACAAAGACAACCCATTTCCAAATGGGATTATAACCACAGGCACAGAGGTTAGGATTTACAACACATATTCTGGGGGGACACAATTCAATCCGTAACACCCACCCTCTGGTGTGCACACACCTTCTCCCACGTATTCAATCAAATATTAATCTAGGTGTTGCTGCGAAGTGATTCTGTAGATACAATTAAGTCCCAAATCAGTTTACTTTAAGAAAGGGAAATTATCCTCAGTGGGCGACTTAGATGAGTCCTTAAAAGAGATCGGGCTCTTCTCAGCAAGAGATCTAAAGCATGAGAGGGACTCAACATGAAGGAGACTCTATTACTGGCTTTAAAGACAGAAGGGGCCATGTGGCAAAGAAAAGGGGTGGCCTCCGGGAGCCAAGAGTGACCTCTGGTTGACAGCCAGCAATAAAATGGGAACTTCAGTCCTACACCTGCCACAACCACACTGGTTTTGAAAAGGACCCCGAGCTACAGGTGAGAACAGAGACTGACCAGCACCCTAGTTTTAGCCTTCTGAAGCAGGGGACCCAGCCACGCCATGCCCCAACTTCTGACCTACAGAACGGTAAGCTAATAAATTGGTGTTGTATTAAGCTGCTAAATTTGTGATAATTCATTACGGATCATTAGAAAACAAATATAGTACTATACAGGGAAGCAAATGGAACTATTCTACCCTATAACACATGTGGTCACCATGAGTTGGAATGACTCAACAGCAAGAGTCTGGTCTTTTGTTTGTTTTCTAGAGAAGCAGAGTGACATGACAGAGTGACTGTTTTAGATTAAGGGGTCAGGGGTGACATTCAACCAGCAACCTAAACAACAAAGGGGAAGCCATGCAAAACTGAAGAGAAGCTGTCTAGGAAGACAGAATCGCTGATGCAAAGGTACAAAGGCAAGAATCACCTTGGTGTCTTTAAAAAAAAGACAGGAAGAAGATGTGGCTGGAGCACAGTAAGTGAAGAGTGGTACATGATGAAGTCTGAAAGGTAAACAGGAGTCAGAGCTCACCAAGAGTTCTCACAGGTAAGGAGTTGGACTAAAGAAGCCATGCAGGGGGGTGTTTAAACAACGTGTGGAATGATGTGATTTACAACTCTTCGGGCTCCTGAATAGGGAAGATTATTTCACAGAAAGAGACTGAAAACAGGAAGACCAGAGAGGAGCCTGTTACAATAGACCAGGTGAGGGATGATGCTGGGCTGGGTTAGGGTGGGGTGTAGTGTCAAGAGGAGTAAGTAAAAAGATTTAATATGTTTTGGACTTGCTAAAAGTCTGGTTGTTGAGTGGAGGGAAAAAGAAAATGAATATAACTCCTATGTTTCTGACTTAAGCAACTGAGTAGACAGTGGTGCCATCTGCTGTACAGGCAAGGAACAGGGTTACAGCAGCTGAGGCAGGGGTGGAATCAAGCGCACTCTTTTAGTTATACGGGTTTACGTTGTCTGTGAGACCCTCCAGTGACCATGTCAAGTAGGCAGCTGGCTATACCAGTCTGGTGGCCCAGGAAGAGGTCAGGGATAGAAATCTGTATTTGGAAGTGGTCGACAAAGACCTGCCTTGTCAGGTAGCACTGAGTAAGTTATTTACTCTTTCTATTTTTTAGTTTGCCCATTTGTAAAATTAGTGCAAGGAGGACAGTCATTGTTATGGCCTAGCAACTCTTACCTGGGCTGCCGGATCAGAAGCCTTGAGTCCAGAACATTCCCTGATAACGGAGGCTGGGAATTAAGCCTCCTTCTGTCCCTGTTTTCATTTTCCTTATCAGGGAAACGATTTCCCTGTTAGAGGCCTAATGAGTACCTGTTTGTTCTGCACATTCTTGCATGTCATATGGCACCTGGCCAACCCACTACTATATCTGTTTCTGGTGGGGAAGCACACAAGGTCCTTAAACTACAACACAAGATGGGTGTTTGCAGACCACCAGCTCTGTGTCAGCTGTGAGGAGTGACTCGCTGGCCATAGGGGACTGGCACCCACTATTACAGCTGACCTTGCTCTGTCTCTTCTCTGTGTGAGTAATGCACTGTTCCACACACTGCCTGTGTGTTTAAGTCATGCTTCTGTTGACAACCCCAACCTTAGTTTGATAGTTTGGCACAGCAAGCAGGGTTGACAATTAAAATACGTATTTGTCCTTGTTATCACACAAGACTGTCAAGATAATTAGACATTAAAATTTAAGAACTAAAATCTGTACGTATTGTAATTTATTTTTATTACAGTGCGTGCATGTGTGTGTGTGTGTGTGTGTGTATAAAACCAGTTGCCGATGAGTCGACTCCGACTCATGGCAACCCCACATGTGTTCCTGTGCTCCACAGGGTTTTCAATGGCTGATTTTTCAGAAATAGATCACCAGGCCTTTCTTCTGAGGTGCCTCTGAGTGGACTTGAACTTCCAACCTTTCTGTTAGCAGCCTAACACATTAACCATTTGCACCACCCAGGGACTATGTGTGTGTGTATATATGCACAAACACATACGTGTGTGCACAAACACACATAAATAAAATAAACTGTAATAGCTTTTAGTTCTAGGTTTCTCAAAGCAAGCTTATGGGTGTGTTTGTGTGTATATGTATATGAACACCTCAACAAACTTGAGAGATAAGGAAAAGAGGTAAAGGATTTACAAATATATACTCAGTACGTGTAGGCAGTTGCTAGACACTTTATGCACATTAACCAACAATATTAACAAATCCCACTGACACAGCTCAGACTACATCAAAACTACAGATAGATACGAGAAAAAAGTGAGGGTCAGGAAGGCTAATCAACTCATCCAAGTCACACAGCTAAAAAGCAGACGAGCCAAAATTTAAACTCAATTTAAGAACAGTCAGTTCAAAAACATTTATTAACTATTACGGGCCACATACTCTGCTCAGTGCTAGGAATACGAAGGTAAATAAAACATAATTCCTACTTTCAAAGCACTCAAAAGATGACAGTTATGTAAACAATTTCAAAACAATATGACAGGTGCTATAATAAAGATACACAGGTGGGGCAAAAAGAACAAAGGGGAAGCAGCAAAGTAGGACAGGGAGAGAGAAAGTAGGGTGGTAATGTCAGGAAATCTTCAGAAAGCCAGATCTTAAAGGGTAGGTACACACTTGCCAGGTGTAAAAAAGGGGAAAAGGCGCTAGAGACGTAATATGTAGTATGCCCAGAATGATATACAGTAAAAGCGAAAATATAAAATGAATGCTCCGTCCTCCCACTCCTAGCCACAAAGAAAATTCCTCAGTAAAGAGAGAGTTTCTTAATATTACAGTTGCTCCTATTCACATAAATTATTTTATTATGAGCAACAAAGGACTATGTGGGGAAGACACATTAGCCTGAAACAACTTAATCAAGGTTTAGACTCTTAGAGAGGTCATCCAAGGTCCCTAGGTGGCACAAATGGTTTGTGCTCAACTGCTGGAAGAAAGTGCCTGGCAGTCTGCTTCCATTAAAATTACTGCCAAGAAAACCCTATGGAGCAGTTCTACTCTGTAACACTTGGGGTTGCCATGAGTTGGAATTGAATGGACGGCAACTAACAACAACAAGAGCTCATCCAATGGAACAGATTTTTTTTTTTTTTAAAGCTAAGAAACTGAATAGAGATTCAGCAATTATTTCTAGCGGTATGACTTCTCAATTGTAAAGGCTCAATGTTGTTGTACACATATCTTTTAAAGACTGCTTTTTCAAAAAACATCATAATACGTTATAGTATACAAATTCAAAGACATGCTTAGGATATATGAGAAAAAACTGTCTCAGGGTTACCAAAAATATACTTATGGTTTGAAAAGTTTTCCAGTAACAGCATTATACATAAATTCAGTAAGTGTTGCACCTCAGTAATCTAAGAGAATGTGGTATGCAAAATGTTAGATGATTCAAAAAGTTATTCTAGCAATAAAGATGGTGTCAAACACATGTGAGAAGAGTTTAAATAAAATTATTTTATGAAATGTACAAAGGAAAAAGTACTATTTCTAAATTAACATATTGTTTTATATAGTGTGATAGGAATTATGTGATTCAATAAATACATAAGATTTAAATTATGTGAGAATACACTGTATAATTAAATTAGGTAAAAAAATTGAATCTTTTTATAGGAAAAATGGAGGACTGACTTCTACTTAGGCACAACAGAAGCATCATCAAAGCCAAATTCTGAAAAAGGTGCTCTTTATACAGCTTTGCCTGCCCTGCACACCAGAATCTGGACTCCAAAAATCAGGTAAATTTTTCTCAATGCTGGTATCTACCTCTAACAATACCCAGCAGAGTTCTCTAACTCACACCTTTATGAAGACGACCAAATGGTCTGTTTGAGAATGACTAAACACACACCCTACACAGAACATTTGATGTAATTTTAAAAATATATCTATCCAACATATTGTAAAGAACTCATAGCAAGTTTGTATACAAATTTCCACTTTACTCTCACTATATACAACATGATAAGGGATAGCGGGATAACAAATAATTTTTTGTGTCCTCCACACTACTCTTATCCCAAAATAATAATGATGTTGGTGATGATGATGATAGCTAAGAGTTACTCCTAGGTACCAGATAATATCCTAAGGAACACACAAATACACACTTCTTAAATCTTTACAAAAACCCTGTGAGATAAGTATTATGCAGTTTTTGAGTAATGGAGTCTGTTAAGCCCAGAAATAGTTGTCTTATGCTGCAGTTCTGTCCCTCTATCCTGAGTGTTGTTTTTTGGCTTTTTTTGTTTTTTTTTTAACCAGCTGCCATCGAGGCGATTCCAACTCATGGCTGCTAACCAAAAGATTGGAGGATCAAGTCCACCCAGAGGTATCTTGAAAGAAAGGCCTGGTGATCTACTTCTAAAATATCAGCCATGAAAAACCCTATAGAGCAGAGTTCTACTCTGACCCACATGGCATTACCTGAGTGCTCTATAGTCATATAGACTTTCGCTAGCTTTAAAGGGTTTATTAAAAGGTTCTCTCCTTTCGTCGGGTTTAGACTTCCTGCTTGATTGGCATCTCATCTGAAACTAGAACCCCAATTTACACAGAATTGTGAAGTTGTTTGTGCAACACCACTGGCCATCCATCCAACAGCGGTAGCTTGGGATGCTACTATTTAATGCACAGTGAACCACAGTAATATGAAACAGGATGGCATTTTGGTGCATCAGTGTTGCTGGAACATAGCATGCAAGGTGGGGAGTGGCCAGTGATAAAACTAGAAAGGTAGGGGCCAGTTCATAGAATGCTTGGACTTTATCCTGTAGACCGTAAATGTTATTAAAGGGTTTTAAAAGGTGAAATAGTATGTTAGAGCACTCTGGCAGCAGGATGAAGACTACACTTGACTAGATGATAACGCAGGCATACCAGTCAGACGGGCTGGACATGGAGGAGGTGAAATCTAGAATACTTGGTCACTAAATTTGGCCCCTAATGAGGAGGGAATGGCCAAGGATGATTCTCAAGCTTTAACTTGAGTGCTGGGGTAGGTGCTGATGCTCCAACTGAGAAAAAAATATAAAAAATAGGTCTTGAAAATGCAGAACCGTAAGTCTCTAAAATCTGTGTACTTCACTACATTTAATTTTATAGACGAAAAAACTGATTAACAGACATTAAATACCCTAGAATAGGTGTCAGAACCTGAACTCAAGTCTCCTGCTGCCTAGTCTTGTACTGACCGTTATGTTGAATTGTGCCCTCCAAAAATGGGTCTGTCAACTTGGCTAGGCCATGAGTCCCAGTATTGTGTGGTTGTCCACCATTTTGTGATCTGATGTGATTTTCCTATGTGCTGTAAATACTACCCCTATGATGTTAATGAGGCAGGATTAAAGGCAGTTAATAAGGCAGGATTAGAGGAAGTTACATTAATAAGGCAGGACTCGATCTATAAGATTAGGTTGTGTCTTAAGTCAATTCATTTTAAGACATAAAAGAGAGAAGCAAGCAGAGACAGGGGGACCTCATACCACGAAGAAGCAACAGCCAGGAGAATACTGCATCCTTTGGACCTAGAGTCCCTGCTCTGAGAAGCTCCAAACTCGGGGAAGACTGATGACAAGGACCTTCCCCAAGAGCCAACAGAAAAAGAAAGCCTTTCCCTGGAGCTGGCACCCTGAATTTGGACTTCTAGCCTCCTAGACTGTGAGAAAAAAATTTCTCTTTGTTGAAGCCATCCAATTGTGGTATATGTGTTATAGCAGCACTGAGTAACTAAGACAGACTCCATTAAAAGATGATGCCTTATCACGGATTGAATTATGTCTCCCAAAAAATGTATCAGTTTGGCTGGGCCATGATTCCTGGTATTGTGTGATTTTCCTATATGTTGTAAATCCTGCCTCTATGATGTTAATGAGGGAAGATGGGTGGCAGTTGTGTTAGTAAGGCAGGACTCAATGTACAAGATTGGATTGTGTCCTGAGGCACTCTCCTGAGATATAAATGAGAGAAATAAGCAAAGAAACAGGGGGACCTCATACCACCAAGAAAGCAGTGGCAGGAGCAGAGTATGTCCTTTGGACACGGGGTCCCTGCACGGAGAAGCTCTTAGTCTGGGGGAACACTGATGAGAAGGCCAACAGAGGGAGAAAGCTTTGCCCTGGAGCTAATGCCCTGAATTTGGACTTTTAGCCTACTTCACTGTGAAGAAATAAATTTCTCTTTTTCAAAGCCATCCACCTGTGGTATTTCTGTTGTAGCAGCACTAGATGAGGAAGACATGCCTCTCTGTAAGTTTCACTTGTACATTTCATGAACACCAGAGCTGGAATTAGGGATTTTAAAATTCAAGAATTCCCCTTCATATATTAACGCTCTAACAATTAGGGCAGTATCTTTTTTACAAAGTAAGTTTCAAATACTCACTTCAAATTCTTTCACAAAATAACGGGTTTCACCTTGAATAACTGGTCTGTGATCTAAAAGCCTTGAATGAATTTCTCCAAGATCTATAAAGACAAAATGAAATTCAGGGTTAATCCATGCTAAGTGGTGTAATATCTAGTTTGTTTTACTCCCCCCTGCCATGGATATATGAAGAGTATAATCCAGTTTAAGAATGAATTAAGAGTTTAACTATGAATTAAGAGGGACTACGGGTGTGTAAATTAGTACAACTACTTCTGAGAGCAATTTAGCAGTATCTATCAAAGCTGAAGATATGTATACCTAGCAATTCCATGCCTAGGTACGTACCTTAGAGAAACTCTTGTGCAAATGAATGAGACATGTATAAATGTTTATTATAGCATGGGTGATCAACAGAATTTTGAAAGCAGAAAAAGAGAAGCAAATCGTCACGTACAAGGGATTCTCAATAAGATTAAATGCTGATTTATCCTCAGAAACCATGACGACTAGAAAGCAGTGGGTCGTCCTTCAAAAATGAGGGTAAAATTAAGGCACTCCCAGATAAACAAAAGCTGATGCAGTTCATTACAACGAGACCTGCCCTACAAAAAATGCTAAAGAGAATCCTATAGGTTGAAATGAAAGAACACTAGACAGTAACTTGAAGCTATATGAAGAAAAACAGATTCCCAGTAAATGTAACTTCATGGGTAAACATAAAGGCCAGTTTTATGGTATTTTTGGTTTGTAACTATACCTGTTATGTCTTAAATGATTTAAAAGGCAAATGCATAAAAATCAATTAGAAATGTATGTTACTGGGAATACAAAGTATAAAGATGCAATTTGGGACAACATATCAGGAGGTTAGGGAAAGCAGTATAGGAAGACAGTTATTGTATATTATTGAAGTTAAGTTAGTAACAATTTAAACTAGGTTGTTATACATTTTAGATGTTAAATGTAATCCATACAGTAACCACACACACACAAAAAAAAATCTAAAAATATACATAAAAGGAAACCAGAAGAGAATCAAAATGGTTCACTACAAAAAATCAACTAAACACAAAAGTAGTCAGTATTGGAAGAAATGAGGGGCAAAAAAGATGTAAGACACACAAAACAAATAGCAAAATGACAAAAGTCCTTCCTTATCAGTAATCACCTTAAATGTAAATGGATTAGACTCTACAATCAAAAGGCAGAGACTGGCCGAATGGATAGGAAACATGATCCAACAAACGTGGTGTCTACGAAAGACTCGTTTTAGATGCAAAGGCACTTGCAGGATGAAGGTAAAAGGATGGAAAAAAATATTCCACACAAATAGCAGCCAAAAGGGAGCAGGGTTGACTAGATTAATATTGGACAAAGTAGACTTTAAGTCAGAAATCTACTAAACAGTTGGGCAGTTCCTCAAAAACTTAAACAGAATTACCATAAGACCTAGCAATTCCACTCCTCGGTATACAGGTAGTCCCCGGGTTACAAACATCCAACTTATGTACAACCCACAATTACGAACCAACCCCCATAAAGCCTATTATATTAAAAATTTGAGGTATATATAATGGTCCGTAATAACAAACGGACGATACTTTCCAACATGCATCAAAACATTATTATTATTACCATATTATTGTTAAAGATGTTTTAGTGTATCTAGAAGTGTATAATTTATGCATAGAAATGTACACTACATACTATATACTACAATAGACATTTGACTGACATCAGATACAAACCGTACCTAACTGTTCTGACTTACATACTGTCATGGATTGAACAGTGTCCCCCAAAAATATGTGTCAACTTGGCTAGGCCATGATTCCCAGTATTGTGTAACTGTCCTCCATTTTGTGATCTGATGTAACTGTCCTCCGTTTTGTGGTATTGTGTAATTATGTGTTGTAAATCCTAAACCTCTATATGTGAATGAGGCAGGATTTGTGTGGAGTATGTCTTGAGTCACACCCTTCAGTAAGTCAATGAAGTCACTGCCTTACTCAAGTCACCACCTTACTCAAGTCACACCCTTAAATCACACCCTTACTCGCCACAACCTTGCTTGAGTCACACCTTTTATGTTACAAGAGATAAAAGAAAGAAGTGAGCAGAGACAGAAGGAACCTGAGCTGAGAGCCTCCTAGACCCATGGGAACACTGATGCCAAGACAAGACACATGGACATCTCCAAGGAACACCAGACCCACAGATGTTGAAAGGAGACAAGGACCTTTGCCCAGAGCCAACAGAGAAAGCCTTCCCCTAGAGCTGGTGCCCTGAATACAGACTTCTAGCCTCCTAAACTATGAGAATAAATTTCTGTTTGTTAAAGCCACCCAATTGTGATATTTCTGTTATAGCAGCACTAGATAACTAAGGCATATACAAATTTGACTTAAAGACAGATTTAGGAAGAGAATTTGTTTATAATCTGGGGACTGCCTGTATACCCAAAAGACGTGAAAGCAGGGACTCAAACAAGTATTTATACACCAATGTTTATTGCAGCATTATTCATAATAGCCAAAAGATTGAAACAACCCAACTGTCCATCAACAAAATAAACAAAATGTGGTATATACATAAAATAGAGTATTATTGAGCCATAGAGAAAAATGAAGTGCCGATACATACTATGACATGGATGAAACTTACAAACACGCTAAGTGAACAAAATCAGGCAGCAAAGGTAATTATTCTATATTCTCACTTACATGAAGTATCTAGTATAGGAAAATGCATAGAGAGAAGAGTTTATTAGTGGTTACCAGGGGCTGGGGAGATGGGGAATGGTTACAGAGTTCTGTTTGGGATGATAAACTTTCCAAATAGATAGTGCTGATGGTTGTATAACACAGTGAATGTAATTAATGTCACTTAATTTTACACGTAAAAAATAGCAAAATTTTTGTTATACATGAGTGTGTATGTATATACAGAGAGAGAGAACATGAGCCCCTGGGTGGTGCAAACAGTTAAGCACTCACCTACTAGCTGAAAGGTTGATGGTTCAAACTCACCCAGAGATACCTCAGAAGACAACCTGTCATCTACTTCCGAAAGGGTACAGCCTTGAAAACCCTATGGAGTGGTCCTACTCTGCACACATGGGGTGGCTATGAGTCAGAATCCACTGAATGGCAACTAACAACATATAAATGTGTGTGTGTGTATATATATATATATATATATATATATAAAACACCACAATAAATGTTTTAAAAACGGAACAAGTACCTGCTTACAACTGATGTTCTTAAAATACGATGGACTAAAAACAGATTATTTTTAGAATGAAGAGTGATCCCATAAAAAAAAACAAAACAGGGAAGTTCCAGACATATTTTCAAACACAACTCAACTTTGGATTCACGGGGAAATCTTCAGTGGAATTATCTTTAAAAGAAAAAAAAGAGAGTAGTTCACCAAAATTGCCGATTGCCCATATAAACGATTATAATTTAGCCCTAATATCCATGCACCACTCTCACACAGCTAATTAAATTTTAGAGACAATCTGGAATATAAAGCCTCAACAGCCACAGCTATCTGTGCCTACAAGCCCGACAAACAAGGTCAAAATGAAACAGGCAGCAGCCCCAAGAAGCGATTCCCAGGCTAGCGCTGAAGGACTCGGGAGTCCTAATGAAAGACGACGGGGCTGTACAAGCACAGCACGGTAAGCACAGGGTTAAGGGACAATGGAGATGACAAAGTGCAGCACTGTATCTAGCTGGCAAAGACCTTCAAGCAAGTAACACGGTTGTTGTGGGACCTGCGAATCAAACAGGATTCGGGTTCCGAGAGAATTTCGTTACAACCACTCCCCTTCTCCGAGCTTAAAGCAGACAGGGCACACGCGGGCTTTACAAGTGTAGGGCGCTTTAGGGTGTTTTAAGATGTTTTCATGTACGTTACATCATTTACTCCTTGTATGATCCCTATTTTTAAGAGTAGCGTACAGGCTCGGAGAGTAGGTGAGGCGAATGACCCAAAACCATACAATTCCTAAGGGCTGCCTGGAGGCGTGAACCTCTCCTGACCTCCAAGTTCAGTGCTCTCGGCGTTACAGGAGGGCCGTGAGGCCACGTCCAAGGAAGCCCTGGGCTCAGGGTCCCCTGGGCTGAGAGGGGAAGACTGGATGGGCCCGACAGCTCACATGTGCGGCAAGGGAAAGTGGAGAAGCAAGAGGAATCCGGCTGACTGGTTGTTCCTGGGAAGTATCAGGCGCGGAAGACACGGCAGGGAAGAGCCACGACCCCCCACCCCACCCCACTCCACCCCGCGCGCGCCGGGAACTGGGGGTCGGCCAGGGGCGCGGCCCGGGTCAGAGGGCGCTGCCTGCGAAGAGGGACTGCGCCGGGATCCGCTAGGGCCGACAGCCGAGTCATTCCGTACCCTTGATAATGAGGTGCGCTGGGGAGCCCGCCGTCCCCAAGGAGTCCTTCTTCTTGACGCCGCCACCCGGGGCGGCCTCACAACCCACGGGGGTCTCCGTCCCTCCGCCACTCATCCCGGCCGGCTCCGCCCACCGCGGCCCCGCTGCGCCTGCGCAGAGGCCGCACGGCCCGCTTTCAAGGCGCGTGCTTTGGCGTCATCGCAAAGCAGCCGGGTGGCTGAGTCTACGCGGCTGGAGATTCCGGAAAGACACCGTGAAAGTAGCCGGCAGGTTGATCCTGAGGAAGCTGGTGCCGCCATACTGGATTGGGGCGTATACTGTCGGAATAGGAAGATAACTTAAAGTTGGAGCTAAACTCTTGCTGGAACTCATTGTGGTTTAGAGAGGCTGGGAGGTGGAGGCGGGGCTACAGTCGCTGAATAGTGTTAGTATTACTATATTGTTGTTATTGCCTGCCACTAATATCTTATGAAACATATTCACGTGCATTGTCATTTTTGGTCATCACAGCAACCCGTGGTGGGGCGGGGGCAGTTTTATCATTTCTTTTTAACAAATGAAGAAACAGAATTAAGAGGTTAAGTAACTTGCCCAAATCACTTATGAGATTCACTCATGCTCATGTGAAAAACAAAAAAAACTGTTGGCATTCGTATTGTCTCAGGGAAAGAAAACTTTTAAGTGCAGTGAGTGAGACAGGCATAATATGCTGACCGTGCTATCTAATTTTAATCTGGAGTTCTGGACTAATAGTTATTTTTTTTTGGAGAAAAACATGTTTTTCCTCCGTAGTCAAAACCAAAATGTGAAACCATATGCCCTGAGGGATCTTAACCAAGTGACCATCTGCATTCTCAAAATACACATACTCAGGAAGACGGCTGGGTGCTGTTGCCAACAAGCTATTTCTGTAAGACAGACAAACATAAGCATTTGTGACCGTGATCTAAGCATCCTGTGAAACTATCTGTAATCACTAACTATACTATTAAGAATCAGTAACCAATCAGAGTGTGATTATTACAATATTCATTGATTTTCCTGCAATTGCCCTCCCTATGGTTTGGTTCCTCTTTTTACGCGGTAAGAATACTTGTAAAATGAAAATGTCCTGGGACTACATGGCTCCATAGTTACCCAATTACAATTGTTTTAAACCCTTAATCAACTTCTCTGTTTTAACTTCAAACAGGATTGAATTTTTTTTCTACAACAGTATGTGCAAAATTTCAACTGTTTTTTATGTGGGCGAAAATAAGATGATGTAATTAGGGAAGGGACTGGTTTGCTAGGCTGCTTTGAATTGTTGTAGTCATGAGGAGATAATCACAGGACTATACGTGTATCTAACTGCTGCCATTAGATGAACTCCATAAATTTCATCTTGTAGTCTCAACAAGTCCTCAAGCTTTTTCAAAACACAGACAATGTGCAACTTTGCAGTGGCTTCTTCACCTCTGGTGTTCATCCAATGGTTCTAAGAATCATCTAAATCTCTCCCCTCCTCTCTCCCCTCTTCCTGCACAGTGTTTACCCTCAGGGGTCTCTCAGTCTAGTGCGAAAGAAGGTACACAAACTAATATTTGCAGCATAGGGCCTAGGAATGATAGCAGGGAGGAAGGTGTACAAATGTGGTTCACTTAGAGGTATGAGGTGGGGAGGGAGGGTCTGGAAAAGCTTCCGGGAGAAGGCCAATGTTTGTCCTCAGACTTGAAGTGAGGAGATAGATGTTAGCCAGGTGGGGTGGAGTGAAGGAGGAACTGGGAGTATTCTAGAAGAAATAAGGAGCCCAAAGGCAAAGAGGCATAAAATATATGAGGTAATAAAATGTAAACTTGGTTAATTGCAGGTAGTTCAGTTTGGCTTCTGATCTTTATAATCTTACTATCATTTCCTTAGTTTAAGAATCAATTTCTACAAAACAAGTATTTTTAAACCCCATTGTTACTCTCTCCACTTCTAAGCACTTTTCCCATTCAAGCCTTTCTTCTACCCCTACCAGAATAAAGTTCCTCCAAACCTATCTTTTTAATGTTTTGAACTATGGAAAACCTGAGAAGGCTCACTGTAGTACAGTGAGGTCGTAAAAGAAACTCTGGCTGCAGTAGTTAAGACTTTGGAACCAGACAGAACAGAGTTAAAATCCTCAGTCTGCCACTTACTCCTTTTCTTTAAAATGGCAATGAAACACCCATCTTATAGGGTTGTAACTAGGAAAGAGGGAAGTACCTGTAACTCACTCAGTACAGTCCCTGGCACATAGTAGATGCTCAATGAATGTTATTAGTATAAACAATAACCTCCTCTATCTGCTTTTAAAGCCCTGTGTAATCTGCCCCCATCCCTCCATTCACCTTTATCCATCACTAATATAATATCTTCTACTTGTTTAGCACTTTACAAACTCTAAGGTGCCATCCACGCATCACCTACCTTACGTCTAAATCCTCTCATTAGTCGAGGTAGATATTAAAATACCATCCCTGGTAATCGTTAGTAAATGTTTTTCTCTATGCATTTGCCTATTCTAGATATTTCATGTAAATGGGATCATACAATATCTGCCATTTCTGTCTGACTTATTTCACTCAGCATAATGTTTTCAAGGTTCATCCATGTCATACTATATATCAGAATTTTGTCTTTATGGTGAGACTTCTTATGTACTTTGGACATATTATTAGGAGGGACTAGTCCCTGGAGAAGGACATCATGCTTGGTAAAGTAGAGGGTCATCAAAAAAGAGGAAGATCTTCGATGAGATGGATTGACACAGTGGCTGCAACAATGGGCTCAAACATAGCAACGATTATGAGGATGGTGCAGGACCGGGCAGTGTTTCGTTGTGTTTTTGTATAGAGTCATTATGAGTTGGAACCAACTTAACAGCATCTAACAACAACAACATGGCTGAATGATATTGCAATATATGCTTATGCTACTTTTAGTTTATCCATTCAACTGTTGATGGACACTTGGGTTGTTTCCACCTTTTGGCTATTGTGAATAATGCTGCCGTGAACATTGGTGTACAGGTGTCTATTTGAGTCCCTGATTTCAAGACTCTTGAGAGTGGTTTTGCTGGGTCATATGATAGTTCTATGTTTAACTTTTTGAGGAGCTGACAAACTGTCTTCCACAGCAGCTGCACCCATTGTACATTCCCACCAGCTCAAATTTCTCCTCATCCTTGCCAACACTTGTTTTTCATTTTTCTGATAATAGCCATCCTAGTCAGTGAGAAATGGTATCTCATTGTGGTTTTGATTTGCAGTTCCCTAATGACTTACCTGCTATGAGTCGGAATCAACCCAACAGCAAACGGTTTTGTTTGGTTTAATGACTTAGCACTTTCAGCATCTTTTCATATGCTTATTGGACATTTGTGTACCTTCTTGAAATGCCTGTTCAAGTCCTTTGCCCATTTTTTGACTGAGTTGTTTGTCTTTTTGTTGTTGAGTTGTAGGAGTTCCTTGTATATTCTAGATATTAAACTCTTATCATATATAACTCCCAAATATTTTCTCTGATTCTGTAGGTTGTCCGTTCACTTTCTTAATGAAGTCTTTGCTGCACAAATTTTCTCATTTTGATGAAGCCCAATATATGTATGTTGTTGCTCATGCTTTCAGTGTGTTATCTAAGAATCCATTGTCGAAAACAAGGTCTCGAAGTTTTACCCCTGTGTTTTCTTCTAACAGTTTTTATGGCTTTAGTTTTTCCATTTCTGTCTTTGATCCATTTTGAGTTGATTTGCATATATGATGTGAGGTATTGGTCTAATTTCACTCTTGCATGTGGAGATCCAGTTGTCCCAGCATCATTTATTGAGAGGACTGTTCTTTCCCCCATTGAATGGACTTGGCACCCTTCTTGAAAATAAATTGGCCATAGATGTGTGGGTGTACTCCTGAACTCTCAATTCTATTCCATGGTCTATATATCTACCCTTATACCAGTACAACACTGTTTTGACTACTGTAGCTTCATAATATGTTTTAAAATTGGGATTTGTGAGTCCTTTTACTTTGTTCTGTTTTCAAGATTGCTTTGGCTATTTGAGGCCTCTTGCTGTTCCATATGAATTTGAGGATTGTCTTTTCTATTCCTGCAAAGAAGGTTGTTGGAATTTTGATGAGGATTGCACTGTATCTATAGATTGCTTTGGGTAGTATTGCCACCATAATGATATTAAGTCTTCCAATCCATCATTGGAAACCCTGGTGACGTGGTGGTTAAGAACCATGGCTGCTAACCAAAAGGTCGGCAGTTCAAATCCACCAGGAAACACTATGGGGCAGTTCTACTCTGTCCTATAGGGTCACTAGGAGTCAGAATCAACTTGATGGCAATGGTTTTTTTTTTTTTTTTTTTAGTTAATACATCGATACAGATGTCTTTATATTATTTTAGGTCTTCTTTAATTTCCTTTAGCAATGTTTTACAGTTTTCAGTATACAAATCTTTCACTTCCCTCATTCAGTATATTCCTAGGTATTTTATTCTTTTAGATGTTTTTGCAAATGAAATTGTTTTCTTTATTCTCTTTTCAAATTGTTCGTTGCTGGTATATAGAAACACAACTGATTGTTGTCCGTTGATCTTGTACCCTGCCTCTTTGCTGAATTCATTTATTAGCTCTAGCAGGTTTCTTGTGGATTCTTTGGGATTGTCTATATACAGTCATGCCATCTGCAAATAGAGATAGTTTTACTCTTCCTTTCCAGTTTAGATACTATTTGATTCTGTTTCTTGCCTAATTGCTCTGTCTAGAACTGCCAGTACAATGTTGAATGGCAGTGGTGAAAGCGGGCATCTTGTCCTCTTCCTGTTCTTAGATGGAAAGCTTTCAGTTCTTTCAATATTGAATATGATGTTGTTGTTGTTAGGTACCATCTAGTCAATTTTGACTCATACCAATGCCATGTGACAGAGTAGAACTGCCCCATAGGGTTTTCTTAGCTGTAATCTTAAAGGAAGCAGATTGTCAGGTCTTTCTCCAGTGGAGCGATGGGTGAGTTTGAACTGCCAAGCATTGTGCCGCCAGGGCTCCTTATTGAATATGATATTAGCTGTGGATTTTTTGCAAAATTCCTCATTTTGAGGAATTTTCATTCTATTACTAATTTGTT